GTGGGACAGCAGCCAAACACGGCCTCGAGAAAACCCCCCCAGCCCCTCCTCCCTCAATCCCTGCCTCAGTTTCCCCACCCTGAGCAGCTCTTGGGGACCCCAGGGGTGGCATCACCCCCACCCCCCCGAGTCCCTCTTCCCCCCCCGATCTGGGGGGGCCCAGCGGACACGACCCCTCCCCAGTACCTGCCCCCGGGGAGGACGGGGGGCTCCCCGCAGCCCCTCGTTTCCTCCACTGCTCTAAGGCCGTGTAGCCGTCCTGGTCCTCCATGTCCCGCCGCTCAGGGCCGGGGACCCGCAGTGGTCACACGGAGGAAGGGACAGGAAACCAAAGCGCCAGCGCCGCTGCCCCCCCGGGCTGGTGTGAACTGGCAGCAGGTTCTGAGCTTCCTGTCCCCAAACCAAAGCCCCACAACTGCTGGGGGGACTCGTCCTGACGGCCCCGAGGGGTGGGGGGGTCGGAGGTCTGTGTTCAGAGGAAGGAAACCCATGAGAAGGGACAAGAAGGACAAGGAGCCACAGCACGAGGTGCTGGGAGAGAGAAATCACTCCTCACCCCCCTCCTAAAATGGGGAAAATAAGAGGTCAAGGTGTTGATTCTGATCTCTAAGAGATCAGAATCAAAAAATATCATCAAAAGGCCAGCACAGGCTCCACAGGCTGCAGGGCTGCTGCATCCTCCTGGGGCTTAACCCATCGGTTTTATTTCCCCCAAAAAGGGGAAAACGGCCCCAAATCCCTTTGGCCAAGTGGAGGAGGGGACAGAGTTCTGGCAGAAAAGTCCAAAAATCCGTTTTGCCCAACCTGGGAAGAACAAACCACCCAGAAGTGAGGTGAGACCCCCCAGCAGCACTTCTGTGCTGTCCCCCTGAAGCCCTCCCCGGGGTGCTGGAGTGTGACTGGGCACACTGGGAGCACTGGGAAGGGGCTCAGCCCTCCGTCACCCCCGGGAGCTCCAAGGCTCCGAGAGCCGGGATGGAACTCGGCGGAGGGAGCAGGGGAAGGGACGGGGCTGCCGGCACTGGACGGGGCACGTGAGACGCCGGGGAAGGCAATAAACAGTAAAACGATGACGAAAGAAAAAGCTCGCGGCGGCGAAAGGGCCAGTGAGTCACACACGTCCCATTTCACACACACATGGCACAGCCAGGGAGGGAGGGAGATCGGAAAACAGCCAATGGGTAGCGTCGGAGAGCCCCCGGCAGCCAATGGGAAGCGTCGGAGAGCCCCCGTCAGCCAATGGGAAGCGTCGGAGAGCCCCCGGCAGCCAATGGGAAGCAACGTGTCCTGATGTCAATTAAACCACACTGAGAAGCTGCTGGAGAAGAGCAAAAAACAATTGAAATTGCGTCAGTTGAGGAGTTTGTTTTCTAGTTTATGACTAAACCGACCCTACCGCGAAATCTCACAGTCACTGACAGCTGCCCTGCGAGGGTGAGTAATCCAGAGCAGCTCCTGGGCTGCCAAACTCGGGGTGGTGGGTACTCCCTGTCCACAGTGAGCCACGGCTGGGATAGGGCTGTATAACAAGGTCATAAATATTATTATGTCAATATTTGTGGTTGGTTGGGTGTATTCTGGTCCATCCTTTATGGTATTTAAAATGCAAGGCCTCCATCCCAGCCTTATAGGCCAGTACCTGCAGCAGCCACGTGGGACCCCCTCAGCAAAAAACCTCCCCCCAGGTTTCTCAGATGTCACGATGGTGGTCGTACATCTCCAACAGCTTCTCATTTCTTCTGGCTCTGAACTGTGCAGCTTTCACGGGGTGAAAGTTTGGAATAATTCTGTCCCCTGCCTGGGTGAGGAGGAGGTGACAGAGCAGCTTTGGTGGCACCAACCAGGGCCAGCCCATGACATCTCCCTTGGTTGGGAACCTTTAAATATTTTTAAGCAAGCAAGGTGCAAAACAAATGCCTTTGTTCCTTGGATGAATCACACTGGGATCTGCTGGAGAACAGCCAATACTGCCTGATTTGTAAAAGTATAAAACTTCCCCCGTGGCTTTGCAAGGGGACAGGCAAACAGCCAGAGAGCTGTGATGTCAAAACCACGCTGTACAAGTCAAAACCAGGTCTGTGTGGTTGACTGTCCTCCCCAACTCAGTGGCTCAAATGACTCAACAACAGGAAATCTCCCACACATCGAGAGCTGCCCTGCAAGGTGAGTACTCCAGAGCAGCTCCTGGGCTGCCAAACTCAGGGTGGTGGGTGCTCCCTGCCCACAGTGAGCCACGGCTGGGACAGGGCTGAGCCCCCACATCATGGTCTTGTCTCTGGGGGGGCTGAAATGACCACCTGATTAATTAAATGTGGCACATTGAAGGGGAAGGGGGGAATAAACCCCGAAAGTCACAGTTTTACAGCTGGGTTTG